CTCGTCTTTAAGACTGTCATTGGTGCGTTTTGTGTCTTGCTAATACTGAGTATGAGATCATGAAATAGGCCACTATCCCAGTTCTGTAGGAGAATATTTTTGCTAAATGTCTTGCTAATACCGAGTATGAGCTCATGAAATAGGCTGCCATCCCAGTTCTGTAGGAGAATATTTTTGCTAATTCACAAGATATTTTAACCTACTTAGCGTTGGTTGAACACATAAGCAGGTAAAATTGTAATTTCTGACAGTTGCCAAATCCCTCTGTTACATGATAAAGACAGTTAAAACCAACAGGATTTTTGTCATAAATGAGACTGAAGGATCTATTCCCAGGTATGTTCAGTAAAAAATAGGAAGCAACCAAAAAACCCTCAGCTGATTATGGTCTTACTATAAGAATAGATATTACTACAAACATCTTTCTGTTAATGTAAAAAAACCCTCAGTTGATTATGGTCTTACTATAAGAACAGATATTACTACAAACATCTTTCTGTTAATGTGGGTAACGTGAATGTAATTTGGGTCTGCCTGTCTGTTTGGTAAACGTTATAATAGTCTGCATTATTCTCTGTATTGCAAACTGTAATGTAGTTTCTGTTGTTTTTACAAACAAGACTATAATAATTTCAATTCAAGATTCACATGGTTCACCTTAAAAGGTCAGCTGTCAGCATGAGATAACCAGAATTTTGTTGACTAGACCACTGTCCAATCAGTCTGCTCTGGTGTTTCTAAGCCAGTCTCATCTGGCATGGGAGGCAGTGGTAACTCAGAGATCAGTTACGATGTCAGGTTGTGCCTGTGGGCAGTAAGAATAATTCTTCCTTTCTCTCCTTCATTAACCTCTTCTTGCATGCTTCTACTCGCCATGCCTTCAAACCTCTTGCCACCAACTCTGGTGCTGGCCCCTAAATCCAACCTCTTCCCCACCCATTCCTGAGCATAGCCAGGGGTTGCTGAGACTGCCTGTTGATCTGTGGCTCAGAAGGATCTCCACTCAGGTGGGATTTAGATCCTACCTGCTTTATACCCGCAAAAGTGTTGCCTCTGCTGCCAGTGGTGCACGTTCTGTGGTTTAGGATTTCCTTGCTGGTGAAAGCTATAAGAAACTAATGGCATGATCTTTCAGCTGAGTTACATCTGGTAGAGGAGAGTGTAGCACTCTCTTAAAATGTAAGTCAGTTTAATCTGATAGTTTGTGATCTCATCACACTTACAAGTGCTTAGTTCTTCTCTGTAGTCTACATATTTGACTCCGTGCTCCAGGTGGCAGATGAAACAACTGAATTCCCAATTATGGCACGTCACTTCAGTAATTTTGGATTGCATATGTGCGCCTCTGTATTGAGAGAAAAAACTTCCAAGATATTCAAGGATAAGAGATATGCTTAGCCAAAGGGAATTTTTGTGGCTTTCAGATATTCTGGTAGGAGTACTAACCTCTTTAGAGTTCAAAGAAGAAAAGCTCAGAAGCTATGGCCAGATGACAAGTTAATCTTTTGAAGTGGTTTGTTGGTTTTTTTTTTTCTTCCATGAATTCCCAATACCAGAATGCATCTTTACACAAGGTAGAGTGTCAGCCTGCTTGTCGTACCACTGCACTGTTTTTCTGCAAGAACCCTCGTTACCTGTAGTGCATCATCAAGACAATAATGGTGCTGTCAGAGACCATATTTAACAGTTCCGTTGTTCTAAATTTCTAATTGTATTGCTTGTTCTTTCCTGTTAACCTCTTGGTTTTCCATTTTTCAACAGAACTTGACTCTTTTTTTTTTTTTTTTCCTCAGTTTTAAAAACAAAACAAAACAACCATATCAGAATAATGCTGTGTGTTAACCTACGCTACCCCTGTAAGAAAAACTTGCAAACAGAAATTTGGAGCGCCTTGGCTGGCCAAGCAGCTTAGCTTATTCTCTGACTGCTGAACTTGGCACAGTGAGTTTTATGCCCGTGCCCCCTAGCCCACTGACGTTAGGACCCGGTTGGAATGGCACTACTGTTTTCACCGGGCATTTGGCTCCACAGCCCAAGAAAGAAGCTAGCCTTGTCGATAGTAACAAAGCATAATTCACATGTTGGATTTCTTCCTTTTGCTTACAAGTAATGTGGCCGTATGGTATTAATAGAAACACCGTTTTCAAGAATTTAAGAATAAACATAACTGTCTAGGTTTTTATTTTTCTATTAAAATAAATGCAAAGAATCAAATTAATTTTTTTCTGTTTTTATTACTTGGCTTTTATATGTTTAAGATAGCAATCTAGCCAGAAGTAGTGTTCTGTGGTTTGCTTGTTCCCCAATTTTCAGTAATAGTAAGCTTGTAACTGGCAATTCTGAGTTGTATTTTTGCCTTGTATAGACTTGTTGTGTGCTTTCAGTTTATGTACGACTTTTTTGTCCCATTTTCTTACCTGATGAAAGTGACACTGATAGTTGGATCTATACTGCAGAAACAGTAAGATTTATGTCACTGTCGTCTTAGGAGAAAAAGAAAAAAATAAGTGAAAATATTTATATGCCTGTTGTGTATATTTCATGCTTTTTTTTATTAATTGAGAGAGGTTACAAAATATCAGAAGAAATTCCCATGCTCATGTAAGATGAGGAAAAAAATCTTTGAACTTAAATTGTGACATTTGTATCCTTTACAAATAAATAGTCAGATAACTGGGGGAATGGGGTATTTCAGAATTCACATTCTAAAGTAGTTTGTGAAAAGCAACACAAGAATTTCATTTGATGCCATTAGCAACAGTCTTTGTTTCTTCAGTGGTTGTTAGGAAGGGAAACAGAAGGATATCTTGTCTCTTACCCATAGTTGTCTTAGACTGTGAACACTAGTGCTTCAATTTTCTCTGCTATTTATCTGTACCAAAACTTTTCCAAACTGTTCAAAGCTTCCCTAAGCAAGGGATGCTTTAAAAACTCCTAAATTTCTTAAAATCTATTTTAGTTTTTCCAGCATGCATAATGTAAAATAGATCCGCGTTATCTTATAGCACACGTGCACCTATGTATGCACATGTATGTATTTGCACTTACGTATGATGATGTGGATGTATTTTTTCTGTGTAAATGGCTTTATGTTTGTATACTGTATATCGTGTATATGCGTCAAAGTACAATGTGCAGCTGTTCACATAGCTTAATTTTTTTAAGGAAAAGTGTCTTGGAGGTCATGCCTTGTTTTGATGTGAAACTCTGTTTACTTATGAGACTGTGAGGGATGGATGTTCCAACCAGTTAACTAGAAGTTTTAGGTATTTTCCAAGTAGCTTTCTGGTGACTCTTTGCATATACGGTCAAGGTCAGAGCTCCAGTATGGACTAGGGGGTCTCTTCTGGTTTTGCTTGGAAGTTGTTTTCTGTTTAGAAATGACCAAAGCTGGGGGCAAGTGAGATTTGTCTTACTCCTGTGTGGCTACATGGTACTAAGTCACTCTAAGTTCTTGCTGTATTTACTGGAAGGGAATGGGCATTTCTAGAATGTGTCGTCCTAAGTTAAAGGTCTGCAGTAAGTGGATAAATCACTCCTTGAAAGTTCCTATTTCTCCGAATTGACTGTGAAGTGAGTATAATGGATGACTTGCCGAGATGCAGGTGTATATACTTGTTTTGGGGCGAGTCTTCCCTTTAGTGCTGTCCTCTGATGTCCCTCCACTTGTTAATTTTTACTTTTCCTGTAGTCTCAGGGACATGAGTACAATCATTCCTCCCCCCATACTTATTACTATCAGGATGGAAGTATTACAAGGTGAATATAGTCACTGAAATGTATTGCAGTAGGAAGATAATTGCAGCGCCCTTGTGGGAGCATAATAATCAAACATTAACGAGTAAACAACCAACCACATAGAAAACATGACATATAAATAGCCCTGAGATAACCTGATAGTCAGCAAACCATTCTTTGGTGGCTTTCAAATCATTACTAGATTAAGCCTTTCTCAAATCAGACCATGATGGTAATGTCAAAATCACCTACACTTGTTTGTTTTGACTTTCAGGCAGTTTGAAATAAATATACACAGCTATTTTGTGGCTCCAAACTACAATTATGCCAGAAAGTTGAGTCTGCAGCTGCTTGGGAATACAGTCCGAAGGCCTGCAGTGTGTCTGAGCATCAGCCAGGACACAGGGGCATTCAGTAACCAGGAAAATGACTGACGTTCTTGATGAAGAAACAAAGAAACCTTTATTTCTTGCATAGTTGGAAGGCAAAGCAATACAATATTGACACATGGTTAACGTAAAGAAGCATTTTTCAAAATACCTCTTGACTATCTGGATCTTGTAACTCTGACACAAACGTGCCTTTGGACTTGTGCAAGCAAATCATTGGATGAATTGATTGGGCAAAGCAGTGATTGAAAGAGTGGCTGTTGAAGAATCATGGCGAAGCACTTGGAGACCATCAATTTGTCATTTTTGTTGGAACATGAAAGGGAAACAATATTGGGAGTATTGAAGAGAGATGAGTATCTGAAAAAAGTTGAAGATAAGAGGATAAGGTAACCCTTTTTATTATTGTTCTTAAAAATATGGTCTGTAGTATAGATATTTTTGTGCTACCCAGTGAAGATTTTCTAGATGCCTCAGGAGAAGGATGAGGGTTGGGAAGTGGCACAGTTAATTATAAGTCAAAGTAAAGTGTGTTAAAAAGAAAATTGCTTCCTAATGTGACTCTTGAACTTTCTTCCTCTGAGAGGAGCTGTATGGTTTGTGCCTCCGGAGCTGACTGTGGGAGAGGAAGTTTGGAAGGTGTCATGGGGAGAGAAAGTAGGTGTATGCCTGTGTACAAGAGTCCGTACAACGTGGGGCAAACGCTAGAGTGACCTTTCTCTTTCTGTTGCAGTACTTACGGAATAGGGAGAAGGAGGGACACTTCATTTTCCAAATGGCTTAGATTTACTAATAAATAAATAAAACTGAAGATCTTGGGTGTGGATCTCGAAAGTCACTGATGGGAGAAGTAGAGACTCAGGGTATTAATAGAGTCCATGTCTTCTTTTCTGAGGAAAAAAGGTAAAAATCAAACTTCAGAGAACAAGTGTGGAGGCAGTCTGTCAGCTATTTTAGATGACTCAAATTCCGTTAGTTCAGCTAAGTATCAGTTCCACAAAGGTTCGTATGCTTTTCCAGTATGTTGTTGCTGCTTCCTCTCACTTCTCCCCACTGCCCTTTTAAACTTTTATGCAGTGCTGGTTCTGATAAACAGGCTTAGTGTGGATGTACGCATGCAGCACTTGGTGTTGGCGAGGCTGCTGAGTGTAAAGGATGATAAAGGGAAAATTTCCAGCCTTTGCTGGTTTCTGTCCATGTATTCCAAGGCCGGGCTGCATTGTTCTTCCCTTTGATTTGCTAAAAAGCATTTTGGACATTGTGCATTGCAGAGATGTATGTTCAGCACCTGCTGAGGCTTCTTTTCTGTAAAACTGTTGTTTGGAAATCCATGCAGAGTTAGCCACCGGCTTCGGAAGTCTTTCTACCCTGAGAGAACCAAGTCTAAGAGCAATGCCCTTATTGGTGTGCAGCCCGTTTAACTGGGGAAACACAGTGGCTCATCTAAATGGAGTGGGCTGGTTGCTGCTTCTGCGTGCAAGACTGGAAGGAAAGGTGTTTCTTCATGGTGGTGTGGGTAAATTAATCATATCATCTCCTTCACGATTTGTCAGATGAAGAAGAAAACAGAACACAAGAAAACAGATGGAGCACTATTTGTTCCAGGCATTGTGCTCTGTTTTGTAATAGGATAAGCATGTAAAATAAGTATTTCAGTTTTCTAAGGTGGTGGCCTTGGAAATGTGTGACGTGCCAGTAGTCAGTGATCAAAGGCATCAGTATGAAGTGCAGCAGTGTATCAGATCACTAGCTTCCCAAAAACCTTCAGAAAGCTTTGTTTTCTAGTACTGTCACTTCTCAATCTCAAGTGGAAATTTGAAAGTCTTGGGGTTTTGTGGAGGGTTTTTTGTTTGATTGGTTTGGGGTTTTTTGTTGTTTGGTTTTTTTTTTTTTTTAATATGTTGTCTTAAAAACCCTAATTTTCTGCTTTTTTTGGCACTACTGGAAATCACTCTGCCAAACCTACTGAGTTTGAGAACCCAAGGCACCTCTGGAGGATGTGGTTTAGTAAAGTGACAAGTGGTATGGGCTTATCTGTCTTTTGGTACAAATGGAAAGAGCACCCTAAGAAAAGGCTGAAAATGAAGTTAATCTGAAATATAATGCTAATTAGGATAACTAATGATGCAATGTGTGCTTATACAGGTGCTAGAAGTATGCATATGAACCGATTGGTTTCAGATTCAGAGAAATCTGAATCTGAAGACTGAACTCTCAGTTTGGAGAATTGTCACTAGACCATACTGTGCCTAATAATGGTGGAATGTAGTCTATAAAAGACTTCTAAGATATACAAGCCATAAAGAACTGGGTGGTAACTGCTTCCTAGGAGACTTCGTAATTTTTCTTTCTGAATACAGCTTGGCAAGGATATCTTTAATTATGGCTTATCAGTATACTTCAGAGGAACACTTGTTGTCTTTGGAATTCCATTTGGTGCAATCTGTTATATATTTTATTGAAGTACTTTGCAGAAGAACAAGTCCCTTTGTATTTATTTTCAAGGCATTTTTCATTCTGGCAAGATGCTTACTTGTACATTATACCAAAGAATTTTTATTAGTCTGTTCCACTCTTTCTGAATCTATCTTGATAATTGTTTTTTCTGTTCCTATTAGTCTTCAAAAGCCATCATAACTTGAAAGGGTCTTTCTATTGAACATGAAAGCAATAGTAAGTGTAGGAGGATGTCCTGATAGTGAAATTGTTAAGAGTCATTTTCACTGTCACTGCTCATACTTGTGTTCTGGAGTGCAGGTGGCTGTTCTTGTATTTTTCTTTGATGTACAAATATTTCACCTGCATGTGAGAGAAACACAGAAGGCAGCAAGTCCTCTTTCTGTGGTCTAGTTTTGATAATACAAATAAGCAACCTGCTTGATATATATCAAGGTTTATGTTCTTTACTTTAAGTGTGTATCTTGTGTGACTTGAAATTTCTTTGAATATTGATTTAAAACTGTTAGTAGATTTCTTGTGCAAATAACCTACAGTGTTCTAACCATTGCTTTATGATGCTTTAGACGTCAGTCGAATGACTATCATGATTGTTTTTAAATGCTAAGATTATTTGGGTGAAATCATTAAATTACATAGAGCTAAAATAGCTAAAAATAGTGAACTTGACCATACTGAGGGTGAAAAAGTAGAGGGTTTTTTAACATGTGAGTTACTGGGAGAAACTTGCATCACAATAATGTCAGTGAAGACATTCTGAACTGAACGTTTTGGACAGAAACATGTATCTTTTTCCTTATTTCCCCATCCTTTTGCTATTTTTAAATAGCTTTGTTCTTTTAAGACCCTTTTTATGAAAACTCATATTACATTTAATGTGTAGTGTCACAAGTCATGAAATCAATATTAATCGAAAGCATGCATTTGCCGAAAGGGGGGTGTACCATGTTTCACCTAACTGTTGTTGGTTTGTTTCTGTTCCAACAGCAGCCCCGCTGCACCCTCCCCAGCTGTGGTGTTACACAGGGGACTGGATCTGATGGCCATAGCATTTTGCATTTGGGGCTAGCTCTTCATCCCAAAATTATTATGCTACCACAGCACACAAACAGATGACACACTTACTGCTAATGTACATTGCTTTCTTACCTTTACTGTTTTCCTAGACAGCATTTAAAATACAAAGTTTCTTTTCATTCTTTACGAAGCAAAGCTATGAATACCATGCTTTTAGAAGAGGAGATAGCAGCGTAATAATTGCTGAACTGAGAAAACAGAGAAGGAACATGCCAATTTCTTCCAAGGATAAGGCTTTGTTGGGTTATTACTTGAATCATTCCCTCAGCATTTAGGCTGCCAGAAGTTGTGTAAGAATTGCACCAGCCCCAGATCTGTATTGACAAGGAAAGTTGGCATTCCTTTCTTTTCGGTTAACTAAAATGGCATCTCCTTATCAGTCTGAAGAAATCCACAGAAGCAATTTAGCCTCTTAACTTCGTTACAACATAGGAGAAACTATTAGCATGGATACCACCATGTGGTAACTACAGGCAAGTACTTTAGGGAAAAAAAAATTAAGTTTGAGTAATTGGAATGGGAATTGACTTATCAGCTGAGTATGCATTTGGACGTGTATATAAGCACAAAAAGATTGCAAGATAGTATATAGTATGGTATATGGTCTGTGTTTTTGCAAAACTGTCTATAAATATTTGAAGGAAAGAGTCCTTATATTAAAGCATATTGCTCATCCATACATGTATGAGAAGTTAGAAGGTTGCTTGTCTGGCAGCTATCTCATTTCTCAAGTGAATATAACACATTGTTATTCTTTGAACCACAGATTTTTCCGTCAAAAGTAGTTACTATTGCCAGTACTCTAAGGGTAGAGATGCCTGGTTTGCTCTTCAGTGTTCTTCAAGAATGAAGATCCTCGTTGGTGAATTTCTGATGATTAATTCTCATACTCTGGGTACAATTTATTTTGTCAAAGACTACTAAGAAACTAACAAGCAATTTGGTTGTTTTTTGTGGGGTTTTTTTGTTTTGGTTTGTTTTTTTTTTAAATCTTAGTAACAGTTTTTAGTTGAGAGGATAAGGGACTTAGAAAAAAAAGTTCATCTGTGGAAGTTTGTCATCATTATAGTAGCCAATATGACTTCAGTTCCCATTGCTCCTTTTCTTCTGTTCACTGGGCTCTGCTCTGCCATTCGTTACCAGTTCTCTTTTTCCTTTGCAAATTCATTCTTTGCCTTTCCTTGTTTCCTTTCATTGTCACCAATATACCTCCATACTTGGATATTCTTAAGACAGTTTTTATCACACACATCTGTTACATGCACAAAATGTGAAAATCTGTGCTTATAAAATAAGAACCTAAAACATACTTCAGGTACTCAAATGGCTAGATTTTACAATGCAAGGGAGATCTCAATGGAAATTCCTAATAGCCCAATCTTTTGTGAATTGTCAGTAACATTTACTGTTACTTTCCACATGTTGTGTCAGACAGTGGAGGGAATCTGGTTGAATTTGGAGGAAGTACTGGGAATCAGTCTGGGGAGGAAATTTCCCTTCTCCCTCAGCCTCCGGAAGTATGTTGATACCAGTTCCTGCACAGAAAGGTTCTCAAGTATCTAAGTTAACAGCTGCATAGCTTCAGGAGGAGGATGTGTCAACTCATCTGTGCAAGAAACAGAACTTTCTTAAGAACACATGCAAGACTGGAGCTATTTCATATATTTAAACTTCTTTTGTAGTGAAGTCTTTAATTATAGTTGGTTGAGGACAGTGTTTTTGTGTGGTTTGTTTTTTGATTTTTTTTACAGTAATACTTTATGACTCTTTGAACTCTGGAAATTTAGAATGGTAAAATAGGAATACTTGGATTCTGCTGCTCTACATCTTAAGATGAAAAAGGTTTTGAAATGGG